TTGCGCCATTTGGAGGGGGGGGTAACGAATGTGTGGCTTTTCGCTTACCGCTTGACTCCACGCCGTTTCTTCCGATCGTCGTAGCGCCTGCACAAATTAACTGCATTAAGCATAAAATGTGAAGTTGATTACAGACCGGGTGCAGGGCTTACCTCTGGAGGAACTTTTTGAGGTCCACGAAGCGTTCATCGTCGACCTTATACTCGTCTTTTTCGTCTTGAAAGGCCTTCTCGATTTTATCGCTGAGCTTTTCGTCATATGCATGCCAGCCGTCATCTCCGTGCCACATCCATTTGGCCTTGGGGAGAGCCTTCTTTGTCGTGGCGGCCTTCATCACTTCTTGACAATGCCAATCGTGTGGAGCAGACTTGGCGCCCATTATTTTACTTCCGGGAAGCAGTTTTTTGGTTCGCCACCATTCCTGCCGTTCCACGTTATGGCCTCGCCTGGGTGGAGGTCAGGGCATGACGGTGGCGTGTCAAGGAGCTCTTCATTCAGCAGCTCTTCTCCCAAATAAATGGTCTGCCTGGGTTTTAACATGAGCTCTACAGACGCGTGGCAGTTAGGGAGGCCAACCACCAAGCCAACACACAGAGCACACTCCCCACAGTGAAGATGTAGGTCAGAATCACTGCAGCAGTTTTGGCCTCCCTCCACAACACAACCCTATGTGCTTGATAGTCTCCCATTCCCTGGGCCACCAGCTTGTTATAAAGAGTTGGAGGGGCAGTAGGTGGGGGCCAGTAGAATTGGGCAACCTGGTAGAAGATGGCTGTGTCATTGGTGGTGTCATTCAGCTTTTGTTGTGGGTCTTGAAGTAGTGTCAGTCCTTCTTCTCCATCCCCATCAATCCACCACAGTCACAGCTTGTGTGGCAGGTGGGAGACTCTGGCTGCAACTAAATGGATCAGCTCTGCAAGACCTGGCTGTAGTTTGTGTTGCATATGTATCATGATGTTTAGTGAAGTCACTGAGGTCGAGATGGCGTGGAACACCTGTGCAGGAAAGTGTCAGCTTTCTTCATATCGTGGTTCCTTTCGCAATTTTATTTTCTTGGCCGTATTCTTTCTTTTTCCTTCCTTTCAACCAACAGCTCCTTGTTTGGCGCCATCTTGTTGGTGTTTTGTGAACGTGCCGATGGAGATTCAGGACGATGAACGGTCAACTGAGGGGGCAAAGAACAGTGCAAACAGCGAGTCACTAGAGGACGAAGAAACGCTCATTGCACCTCTGGTATTCCAGTGCGGCCGCTGTCGGTGCATCGTGGGCGATTCCTTTTCCTTTGTCTGCACAGATCAGAGCCTTGGCCTTGTCTGTCTCTCTGGTTGCCCCCCCCCCTCTTCCATTCACTCCATATGCGCTTTGATTTCCATCCGGGGGTCTCCCTCGGCTCATTCGTGCATACTTTGCCTCGCGCACAGCGGTGACGGGGGTGGAGCCTTCACAGCGAGCGGTGCTCTCCACATCAGGCGCCGACGACGGCTGGTGCACCCACTACCCCTTCTCCCTCCCACCAGGAGTGTATGCACTTGGTTGGCTAACTTTCTGTTTCGCGCACCATTCAATGGTCAGTGTGTACAAAGATTTGGTGTGCACCACGTGTGGGGACTACAAGCTCGGCAAGCTCTACACAGCCACGCCCAAGCAGCTCGTGCACATGCAGTACGCGTCTCTC